ATGATCACGCTTCTGAGCCTGTCAAGTCCTTCTTTTGACCCATTTTGCCAAAGGAAAGGAAGTTGCCTAATAATTATGCACACCTGATATAGGGTGTTGATGTCATTAGACCACACCCCTTCTCATTACAGAGATGCAAATCACCTAATATGCTTAATTGGTAGTAGGCTTTCGAGCCTATACAGCTTGGAGTAAGACAACATGCATAAAGAGGATGATGTGGTCAAAATACTCATTTGCCTAATAATTCTGCACTCCCTGTATATATATATATAAATACACACTTATCAGCCACAACATTAAAACCATGTGCATTATATATAGGTCCCCCTCATGCTGCCAAAACAGCTCTGATGTATCAAGGCATGTACTCCAGAAGACCTCTAAATGTGTCCTGTGGTATCTGGAACAAAGACATTAGCAGAAGATCCTTTAAGTTCTGTAAGTTGCAAAGTGGAGCATCCATCGATTTGATTTGTTGCTCCATCACATCCCACAAATGCTCAATCGGACTGGGATCTGAGGAACTTGGAGGCCAAGTCAAAATTCTGAACTCTTTCTCCTGTTCCTCAAACCATTCCTGAACAATTTTTGCAGTATGGCAGGGTGCTTGATTCTTGAAGAAAGAGTCTATTTCCATCAGGTCTGCAATAATATCTAGGTAGGTGGTACATGTCAAAGTAACATTCACATGAGTGCCAGGACTCAAGGTTTGCCAGTCGAACATTGTCAAGAGCATAACACTGTCTCTGCTTGCATGCTTTTTTCCCATACTGCATCCTGCTGCCATCTCTTCCCCAGATAAATAACACACGCACCTGACCATTTACCTAACCTAAAAGAAAATGTGATTTATCAGACCATACATCTTTATTGCATTGCTCCATGATCCAGTTCTGATGCTCACATCCCCATTCAGTGATGGACAGAGGTCATTTTGGGCACTCTGATGTGTGGCTACACAGCCCAGTATGCTGCAAACTGCAATACACTGGTTGTTCTGACAACTTTCTATCATGACCAGCATTAAATTTTTCAGCAATTTGAAATACTCTATTGTAGTTAGAACCAGATGGGCTAGTCTTTGCTCTCCACATGCATAAATGAGCCTTAGGCACCCATGACCCTGACACCATTTCACCAGTGTCCTTCTTTGCACCATTTTTGGGTACTAACCACTAATCACTGCATACTGTAAACCACTCACAAGACATGTTGTTTTGGAGATGCTATGACCAAGTTTTTTAGCCATCACTATTTGGCCCTTGTCAAAGTCGCTCAGATGTTTTGGCTTGCCCATTTTTCCTGCTTCCAACACATGAAATTAAAAAACTGACTGATCACTTGCTGCCTAATATATCCCACCCCTTGCCGTGCCATTGTAATATTATAATCAATGCTATTCACTTAACCATACATCCATATATACCCACACTCTCTCTCTATAGAAATGTTGACAGCAAGGACATATTCTTGAATAAGCGAGGCCCAAGGATTCTGCAGTGGGACCCTCTTTCTGCTCATGTATAGTTCATCCCTGTGACCTAATTTCATACCGCTACTCCATTGATGAAGGAACAGTGAATACATGCCTTACTCCTTTTCCCTTTTCCTATTTATCGATTACTACTTTCTGTTTCTTTTTTCCTTCTGTGTTTAGTTCTGTGTCCCTTATTTACTGTATAAAAATTATTAAATAATGCTTTCTTTTTTTAAGAAGGGTCCTTTTACATATCTCAGCACTGCTTGTTTCGGGTTGTATTATTGTTACTCTTCTGTAATCTTCTTATCCCCTTTAATAAGAATATGGTTGGAAAAATAATGAGTGTGCAGCTTCACTAACTTTCAGTTAGTTTGCAAACAATGAATCTTTTATGGTAATTTCTTATCAATAAAAGTATAAAACAAACAGAAGTAGGGCCAATCAGCATGGGTGCATGGCCTTTTAGAGAAACCTGGAATATCCCCAGATTCCTGAATTCCTAGATTGCAAGACAATGCCCTTGCAATCAGTCAACTTAGTGCAGTATGTATTCGGACACCCTTTCTGAACCAAACCTGAATCAGTCTAGGCTAGCTTATATTCTAGTTTTGACAATCCTCTCCTCCTACAATATCAGCCAGTCAAGTCTTCACCTCACCTCACTGAAGTCACATCAGTCATTGACAAAGTTATAGTGACTACAACATTCCAAGGACAGAATTGGTCAGGGATTGTGACTGTAAATAATAGTTAAAGACAAATACCGAAATTCTTCATTCAAAGGTGTGATTTTTCTATTAGTGTTCATGTAAAGCAGAACACAACCATCGTAGTGCAGACTAAATGGATGGAAAATGTCTCTCTCTCTCTCAGTGAGTAGAGTGAGTGATTCGATAAGATTTGGTAATGGTAGGGGGCGGAGCCTGGCTGTGGAGCTGATCAGATGCGTGAAGCACGAGCTCCCATCTGAATCCCTAATCTAAACTAAATTAAACCGGCTCTCAAGCTACACAATCCCCCTAAATTGCACCCCACGTAGGGGATGCAAGGGAGATCGCAACGAGCCCACTCACGAAACGCTGAGCCGCTGGGAACGCGGGCTGCATCACCGGGGCCTACTGCAGCGACAACCAGCCTGTTTTGTGGCCTAGTTGGAGGCAAGGGCACGGGTGAGGCGGCCTGGGAAGCAGACTCTAACGCGCCCTTCTCTCCCCCCCCCCTGCCGGTGAGGGATATCCCGGCACCAGCAACTACCCCCAGTCAAATCTAGGCACCGAATAACCCAGCCATTCTGTGGCTTGCGCCCAGTTCCACCGCTGAAATTAAGATGGCAGCGGATGCCCCTGCGATGGCGACACAAGGCCCACAAGCGACACTCGAGGAACGGCTAGACAAGCTGCTCAACAATTTCCGGTGGATGCTGCAGGACAGAGGAGCACAGACTGCCAGGGAGCAGAGGAGTGAGAACAAACCTCCTGACCCTCCTGACCATCCAGCAGACAAGCGGCAAGCCCAGGGTCCCCGGGAGGTAGACGGCCCACTCACCAGGCACCCTCTCATGTCCAAGCATCCTGGGCAGAGGACCCAGAGGGAAAGGACACTTGCGGTAACCACACCATATGATGCCCTACAGACATTCAGGGGCAAATTAGAGGAAAATTGCTTTACTTTACCTTGTAATAGATATTTACCTTGTAATAGACTGCAATTACCATTCTCACAATGTCCTTTGCATTGATCCTGCTGACATACCTGCCGATATACTAAATTACCTATTGTGCGTTTATTGCTTATGTGTACCACTAACGTTATCTCTTTTCATGTAACCAACCAACACATAGTTAAACTATGCATAACGGGCTGCACTTGGCAGGGAGGCACACAGTAGAGGCGCAAGTAGCGCAGCCAAGCGCAGCAGTTGCAGTAATGTCAAGCCTGTTGTACTTGTTCCACTCATGTTTTACCACTACCTTCCCTCATCCCAAATATAAAATCGTGCAAACAGCACTATGTACCCCACTGTTACATCTGTTACACAACGCGACTGTTACACAACGCGACATTGATATAATCTACTGTACATAGTATAAAGCTACCGTTACTAGCCTAACAACCTGCCACCTTTACCACTATGCCTATATACAAGCCACACGTTTATAACCTAAAGTGCGACTAGATTTGTTAATGGCTTAATTACTCTAGCATGTTATATTATACAAGCAATGTTTATTAGCCTGTTATTTTCACGATTATACAAAAAATGTGCTGACCAAACTGCCACACTTTGAAATGTCTTGAAAATGCTTGTAGATGCTGTTGTAGCTCTACACGCCTGCATATTTATGTTCTGTATAATTTAGAGACTTAATCATCACAGATGGAGGTTTCTTTTTTTTGTGTGGAAATTTTTACCTACTTTTGGGATTTTGATCTTGTTTCTTTTTAATACTATTTCTGTGAAGTTACTAATGTACAATGTATGCTTTTATGAACTAATAAAACCTGTATTGAAAAATAAATATATATTCATTTATTCAAAACATGTGGTGCACAACCTGAGTGCGTAGCTAGTGTTTATCAAATACTAATGCCATTCTGTTACTGATAATGCCACGGTTGCCCTCTTCTGTGATGAAGAAAGAACAAAGACCATAAAGGAAGATAAGGGTATCCGATACCTCGTCCATTTAAATATGTCAAGATTTATCTTGCAACTCAGCACAGAGCTGCCACATTAAATGCCAGTTAGATGGAGCAGCAGTTAGCAAGAGATGAGTAAAGGCATCTCGTAAACTATGAGTAATATATCAAAATACATTAATACAAAAATGTACTCTGCTCTAGAAACTGTTTATTATTTTTGATAAACTAAGGACAAAGAGCTGCACTGATTTACATATCTTGTTCAGAAAGGATCCTCACTTTTCATATGCTAGCAATACACCCACAGGCTTATCATTCATTTTCTTTTCAAAGACTCAGGAAATTGAATTTGCACCAGGCAAGTGCTCGTACAAATAGCAATCCTTTATTTTAAATTTTTGGATTAATAAATGTAACTTTGTATAATTATCAGAGCAGTGAACACAATCCACAAAAAAAAAACCTATAAAACGTATAAATAAATAAGATCCTAGGGGCGCTGCAGGATTTCAGTCCTTTATGTCGTAGTGTGTTACAAATTGTTTACTTGCTGGCTATGGTCCCAGCTGCTTTGAGATCATTAACAAGATCCTCCTGTGTAGTTCTGGGCTGATTACTGACCGTTCTCATGATCATTGAAACTCCACGAGGTGAGAACTTGCATGGAGCACTAGACCGAGGGAGACTGACAGTTATTTTGTATTTCTTCCATTTGCGAATAATCACACCAACTGTTGTCACCTTCTCACCAAGCTGCTTGGCGATGGTCTTGTGGCCTATTTCAGCCTTGTGTAGGTCTACAATCTTGTCCCTGACATCCTTGGACATCTCTTTGGTCTTGGCCATAGTGGAGAGTTTGGAATCTGATTGATTGATTGCTTCTGTGGACAGGTGTCTTTTATACAGGTAACAAGCTGAGATTAGGAACACTCCCTTTAAGAGAGTGCTACTAATCTAATCTCAGCTTGTTACCTGTATAAAAGACACCTGGGAGCCAGAAAGCTTGCTTATTGGTAGGGGATCAAATACTTATTTCACTCATTAAAATGCAAATCAATTTATAACTTTTTTGGCATGCGTTTTTCTGGATTTTGTTGTTGTTGTTATTCTGTCTCTCACTGTAAAAAAACACCTACCATTAAAATTATATATTCTTTATTTTATTGTGCACGAGCAGAGAGACAGGAGTACCTGACCACATTGAGGTAGCATGTTGGCATATAAAGTTGCATACGTTGCACAGGTCAAATGAGAGTATAGTGCTTGTTTTTTAAAGAAAAACAATATAACATGGTGAGACATCAGTGAGAGCATAATAAGTATGGTTTGCATGTTGAAAAATAAGAAACTGTGCTTACAGAGGCTTTGCTTAAATTAAAGTGATTCAGACTACACCACACTTATATTCATGGCTCAAGTCCTGCATGTCAGCATCCCACCAGCCCCAGTTCTTCGCGCACCCCAGGGTACCTGAGTCATAAGTTCCATGGCCGAGTGTAGATATACTTTAGAACATCAAGACGTGTCGTTGTTTAACATGCGCAGCCTGGAGAGAGGGCGGCCTGCAGTCGAGCCAAGTCTTCGTCACTGATGCACTCGTTGGGGCACCTGCCTTTGCTTCTTCACTATTTGAGCTGCGTCAGGGTTTTGCCTAGGAGATGTGGAGCGTTGCGTGGGCAGATACAGAATCTGAGCAGTGGAGCCTCCTCATGAGTGCACAGGCGATCCAATTTCTCAGAAAGAGAAGATTATGAATCACTGTATGTGGAGGTACATGTTACATCCGCCATGATGGTCATAGATGGCCTGCTTGTACAGGTAGGATGGTGTAGGTGCTTTGCCTCTGTAGCACTGGTAGTAGTTGCCGGGATATCCCTCACCGGTGGGTGGGAGAGTGTGAAGGGGAGACCTCCGGGTCAGAGTGCCTCAGTCAGGGATCGGCAGCCTCCCCCGCGCTCTCTGTGTAGACCCCTTATAGGCCAGAGATCTATCCCCAAAGAAAGCCGCCGATCTCGGTCAAGAACACGGTAAGTGTCAGTTGTAGTGTAAACACCTGTCTCTGGGGTACGTATGCTGGCAATATGTAGGACTATTATCAATAATATCGATTATATATGAGCAGTTCAGCTTGGAGCTCACAAGATGTGCGACTGCTCAGCATGGCTGCTTGGCTCCGCCCCCCTACCATTAAAATTATAGACTGATCCTTTCTTTGTCAGTAGCCAAACATTCAAAATCAGCAGGGGATCAAATACTTTCCCCCCTCATTCTAGCTGCTGGACCACCAAGAACATTATACATTGTAAATCATAAGCGATCTGCAATGTGTGACATGTCACAGTCATGGCTACTATGGTAGGCATCCCTAATCTCTGTGAACTCTATTCAATGGTGACCCATCACTATCATAAGACAAGGGACGGGAGATATCATTTATTTTTCTGGGCAGTGAGTGATATCACTATGTATAAAGAGACAAAGCAAGATAAAGGAGAGAATAGAAAAGAGATTAAAAGAGGAATTGAGTGATGGAGCCATACGACAGGTAATACAACAGACTGAGCCGATGCGGGGAAATAGACAGACTCTCACAGTGAACAATACATGAAAATGTATTTTTACTTTATGGAAGAAAGATACAAAAGGTCTACTTTCAAATGCAGATACGGGAGAAGGCCATTTTGTCACACCTCAGCTGAATTGAACACGGTCTGGTCAAAGCATGTTTAAAGAATACATTTTGTCAAGTATATTTTTCATACAAACTTAACCAGATATTCTATAAGGAGAGGTGGGCCATTCACAGGCTACTATGTTTTAAGGGGGCGTGGCTAACTTGAACGCCGTTTTTGGCGCGAACCACCAAGCCACACCCCCGGTCAGAGATTGGTTTTGAGCAGCTATAAATTGAAACCGGATGGCTGTGTCCAGTTGCCTTGCCTCAGATGAAGGCGCTTTAGCAGCGCCGAAACACGTGTTAGGTAGCTTAGGTATCGCAGATAGGCAGCTAGCATATCCTGATCGCTCTCTCTATTCTGGTTCATCTGTTCGGATTTATTTTATTTGTTTTCCGGCTGGATATTTGGGGGGCGGTATTGGGGACAAGGAGTTTGACTATTGGGGGGAGGGGTTGGTCCTGACTTTATTAATTCTATTAGGGCTACCTCTATTTTTCCCCTTTACTTGACATTCTAAAATCTCTCCTGAACACTTCAGGCTTCTTTTGATTTAGATAACCTTGCTCAGATACATTCTGCTAAATTTTTTTGTGCACGTTATTAAACTATAAGGATACTTTGTATTATTTTGCCTGAAGAGTGACTTAATAGTACTAACTTATTACTCCAACATAATTTTGTTCCTTTGAGTGGAGACTTTGTATTCATGAATTGAGATTATATTGCCCCATGAATTAGTAGGCAATTTATATACTCACATGGTACCACTAGTGGATATGCCTGCATACCTATCTGTTTACTGATCATTTTTATCATTTTTTATTTTCCTTTTGGTCTATATTTTACTCCTATGAATAATAAAAGTTATATTTTAATTCAATTCATATATACTTTTCTGGTGGATAGAGGGACTTCCTACCAATTATTCCAGAGATATTCTCTCTGGAATATTTTCTTTCTTTTTTTGTTTGTTCTAGTAAGGGTTACCCCCTATAAGGTTGTCCCTGACACATTACTGCACTAGTTTTCATAATGTGATACTAGTCTTTCTTTTCTTTGTCCATTCTGACTTTAGCCTCCATTTGTAAGAAAAATGGAAATGACTGACTGCATGTTTGTACAAATCCCATATTCATATTGTGAAGGAGGCAGAACCATTTCTAGACATTTGTTATTCTCACAGGAAATGGGTAGATCCTCAAAGCTCCGTGATGGGTGTACAGATTCCCCAACTTAGCTCAGGGCCCAGCAAATGATCAGAGTGGCCCTACTGTCAGGTATAACATTAAATAAACATATATAAAAATCATATTAAAATTGTGGAAAAACTGAGAAAATAAAACAGAGAACGGAGCAATACAAAATGAGATGGAACAGTAACTTGGTCTCTACCTGCTGGGGATAACAGGTACTGCAACTCAACATATATGTCAGCAACTGCAAGTTTTGGAACAGTTTTGTTTATTCATAATATGTTGTCTGATATCTTTAAACAAAGTGATGTAGATGTCCAAGCAAATCTCACAGCATTTATTTACACATGTATCTCTATTAAAATATACATTTACACAACCAATACTACAACATTTCTTATTGCACAATCTATGTTTTCTATGGTTTCAGTGGTGTGAAATACATAATAACCCAAAAAGTACTCCACGTACCGGAGACCCGAAAACTGCCTGATATCAGGCTCTCATTTGACAGGCCTACCCTGTGGGCAGTTCCCAAGATGGCGTCTGCAGTGCAGAGCGAGGATGAGGCCTCAGAGGCATCACAAGACGCAGAGCAACCCACAGGGAACACCCTGGCTAGCTGCACCAATGGCGAGTCCAACTCGGATGAAGACTCGTCGCCGGCAACCAAAAGAGACATCAAATGCCTTCTGACAGAAATGAGGCAGATGTGGAAGGCGGATCTGAGGGCAACACAAGCTGAGGTGGGGACTATGGGCAAAAGACTCACGGCAGTGGAATCCAGAGACGGACCGCTACGGACCGCTCGAAAGGAGATCCGAGGCCTTGCCCAACAAGTCCAGAAGCTTACCAAGACAGTGACGGTGCTGGAGTCAAGGCACATGAGGAAGAATATCCGCCTTAGAGGAGAACAGGAACGGATCTCAGGGTATATTCTCCTGCCCTTCCTCCACCTCTTGCTGACCCACATGGGAGCCAAACGTGGTGTGGCCCCGGAGATGGTGACGTCTGTATTCCGGATCCGTAAAGCTGCCTGTGCCCCAGCGGAGGTGCCCAGAGACATTATTGCGGTTACTAAAGACATTGTGGCTAGGTCCGCCATCATGTCTCGCTCAAGAGAGCTTAAAAGTGTGCGCTTCAAGGGCTCCACGGTTGCTATTTATGGGGACCTCGCGTTCGCTGTGCTAGCGGCAAAACGGCAGTTAGGCCCAGCTGCTGGACGGCTGCGGGAGGCAGAGATCAGGTATAGGTGGGGAGCGGACGGATCATTGGGGGTAACGAGAGGGGAGGAATCCCTTACCTTGCCCCCAGACGGTGACCAGGCGACATTTCTCCAACCCCTAAAGGTGAGGGACACAAACCCAGAGCGGGATTTTGTTAGACTGTAAATAGTTAAGCGCACCTATTTACCTTAACAAGACCCTAGCCTGTCTATCAGTGTTACCTGGTAGAGGGAGGGATGATACCCCGGAACAGACCACACTAGGCTATAATCAAAACATCCCCCTAAATTGTACATAAAAGTGGCGTAGAGCATGTTTTTCCTAAAATGTGTCGTTGATGTATCACAGACGTACCAATGTTGGTAACACCCTGTTACTCTTATAATATGATGCAGTTATGTTTATGCATAAGGAAATTCAATAAAATACAAATTGAAAAGAAAAAAAAAAAGCATAGAATGTCGTAGCTAAAGAAGTTGTCTTACCGGGCTCTGTACAGTTTATTTTCTTAATGTCTGAATGCTTTCTTGATATAAATAGAACACTAAAGGATACATTAGTTAATATCCAGGATGTTGATCCAAGGAGAAATCTGTCTGCCAGTTTGGAGTTAAGAAGGAATTTGTTTTCCCATTTTGTGGCAAAATTTCTTCAAATTGTGGTTTTCACCTTCTTTTGGATCAACAGCTGTAATACAGATTTGTGAAGGGCTGAAATAGGTGCACTTAAGTATATTTGTTTCAACCTGTATCACTATGTACTGTCATATTCAAAGTTTAGCAGTCACTCAGACGGCCACTAGATGTGCTTTCTGGGGCAGTGCTGCACAGTTTGCAGAACTGACATTCAGCATCTCCACACTCTGCATGGAGACACTGAACGTTCCTTATAGAGATGCATTGAT